ATCCACTAGTACGATGGGATCGCGCCATTGGATCGCGAAGTATGACGGGTTCTGAGACGTTTCCCTTGCCTGTACATGGCTCGGGTTCTGGGAATACAGCTGTTCACAAAATACAACCATAGGACCCTATTCAAAGCTTTGTTCCTCCAATAGGTACACGTGTAGAGTCCTGCTTTCCTTACGGAATATGAAAACCAGTGGGTAAGAAGCATCGAGCAAAGGAAAGGATGACAGGGATGTGGGATCAGGGATTCTGGAGATAGATGCGAGGAAAGTTCACAATGAAATATAGCAGAAAAAACGACAAACTCAACTAAGCAGTGGCGCGCAGAGGATCGAAAAAATGGTCGTCTACCTTATTTGATGGAACGTACATTTCATCAACTGAATCCACTTATGTGTCCTTTGGAAAACAATACATTTTTAAGTGGAATTCCAAGAAAACTGAAAGTTACTCACCATAACCGTTCTCGTACGCGAACAAGAAGCGCTTGTCGTAGTCTTATGAAGAAGTGATCCTCTCTCCCTAAATAGAAATGGAACATCACTCCACAAGTTCGAAAAATAGAAGAGCTGATGGTGAGGTCAATGGAAGAGACGAGAGCGCCATACAGTTAGAAATGTACAGTTGATATCACCGCAATCAATCGGATTGCAAGTAGTGGTCCCAACCTGCGGCGTTTCCACCACTGGCGAACACTATGCGATTACCATCGCTAGAGCAAGGCAGCTGGAAGCTGAATGGGCTTTTCTCGCCCTTCTCACGCCGCTCCCGACTGACTGCGATGTGACAAACTATACTTCTTGGGGGATATGAAAAAGTACAGGAGATAGCGCAGAAAGCCTAAAAAGTTAAGAGCTAAGCTAAAAAAGCTTTTCATGTTGATAAATTCTTCTTGGATGAGCCGCCCGTTCTCCTGCCATTCTACATCGCAGAGTTATTTTGATTGCATTTTGAAAGTAAAGAGCTCAAGTGTATGAAGCTAGTCTCATCCCATTTAAAAACATGGAAACATATGTGTAAAGGAGCGGTGGAAAGGCAAAGGCGCTAGGGTGTGCCGGGCTTCTAGATCGTTTTCGAAGCTAGTACGTTCAGCTACGTCATCGTCAGACTTGGCTAACATGAGCATAGAATCAACCGCGAGTATCGAGAAGTACCAGAGTGTTCAAAATCAGCGCGAAATCACTATAAGCGTGGTACGAGGAAATAACACTGATAGAATTGGCCGTGAGGAAGACCTGAAGTTGCGTAGATTACATTCTCGTGATGAATGTGGAAGGTTAGATGCGAAAGTCTGAAGAGCGAAGAACGGAAAAAGTTGCGGTCGAGGAAGGCCCCTATACTATTCACCATGCATGTCTCCATAGCTTTCTCTAAGCAATGTAACTTCACACGATGAGCCGCTCACCCAGTAGTCCCCCCTTTCTCCTCGGTAAAGCTCAGCCACCGTCTTTCCACATATTCTTTAGCACTTTCAATGCTTTGGCAGCCTCTATCTCTTATTTGCCCGCCCTATCCCTTGCGATTCTGATCGTCTGCACTCTGGGCCTGAACATTGGCTGGAGAGAGGTGGGCCGAGGTCCTGCCGCGTGGTCCCGTTCATTTACCTCAAACCAAAGAAGAGCCAGACATTATTGCCGGAAAGAGGAACTTCCTCCTTGAATGGGAAATGATAGACGAATGTTGAATCGAGCAGTAGCATTTAGCAAAGTGAACATCTTGCCCATTCACACCAAACAGTTCCCTTCAATTCGCGACACTCGACATATCCGTTAAATTTATGGAAATGAGGAATCTATCAAAAACAAAATAAGAGATAGCATAGGATAGGATAGCAATAACACAGAGAATCGGTTCAATATGGCAATACAGCGAGATTTATAGGAATACTGATTTACCCAGATCAAAAATGGTCATGATGCTTAGAAAAAATCTGCCTAATGTCTCCAGGGAAGCAAAGATCAGCTCAACATATTACAAAAGGACTTCGACTTGTGAATTCGTCGCAATCTACTTGAACACTTTCGTGTGAGATCTCGAAGAGCACACGAATATGTACACGGGGGGGGGGGGCAAAAAAAGTCACTTCGACCGAGTCACATATCAGCAAAGTTTTCGCTGCCCAGACAGAGGACGTGGATACGAGTACCAGGGCGGAAGATACCCAAGATGTTCCTCTATAAGCAGGAGCTGGCTCTCGCCCATCACCTTCATGTACACCAAAATATGAAGTCATCTCCAGTCGCAGCCTGACTGGAGAAGACCTTTGGAATTCATGTCACCTCCAAACAGCTGCGAAACTTCTAGTATGGAGTCACCCATGCTACCTGGAGACCAGTACTCTCGATCTGGATGACCTCCAACATCGAGCAGCTCCGACAACGTCGCTACGGTCTAGGACATCATCTTCACCAGTCGCCAAGGCGCGGGTTGATGGTATGGACCGGACGTACCTGGAATGGAAAGACCAATATTTTCTTCGTGGACCCCGGACTGAAGGTGAGCGCTGGCGGTTACATTGAGCAACTCGTGAAGAATATCCTCCTCACATGTCGTCGCCCGTACCTTCTTGGAAACTTTGTACTGCTACAGCATTGGGTGCCACCACATGGAATCGAAGGGCGTTGGAGAAACTCTCGCCTACTTGGAATGGAAGGGGGCTGAGTACCTAAAGAAGATGGAATATCCAAGTAGGTCACCTGACCTGAATCCCCTCAATTACCCGGTTCGGGCGGAGTTCAATAGGGTGGTCTACGGTGGCGGAGAAATCGACTATCTCGCTGATCTCAGGCACCACATCGCGGTTGCGTGCCAGAATCTCTCGATGGCGCTCGTCCAGAAGGCTGTGGCGGAGTGTCATGATAGTATTTAATATGCTCTTTAATATGGTGGTAAAATGTCCGATCAGAATTTGATAAAGTGTAACTTATAGCGCCTCGAAAGTCAATGAGAAAAGTGACTTTTTTTGCCCCCCCCCCCTGTATAGGTGGAGTGAGTCTCCCACGCGGCTGACACAGACTACTAGGGTGCAGATATAGCCCAATTTCCCGCTGAACTGAAGAAATAAAAAAATCCTATGAGAAACTGGGTTTTATTAGAGCAAAAGCACGCAGACTTAGGCGCCTACTCAGCCGATCGATAACGGTGAAATCAATGAATGGCAAAACAGGTGATATAGCAGGTAGGAGCCAAATCGGACGTGCGGATCACGACCAGCATAGCGCCGTCTCCTAGGTCTCATTAGCACCATAAGTACATAATTAATTAGGCTTCTACTGATCACAAACTTCCAATTCTCTCAGAGAGTTTATCAGGCTCAGTAGGGTATCATTTAGCGTATGCGTGCTAACTTACGACGCTTTTGCACGCATTACTTTACTTTATATTCGTGGAGCTTTTGCAGAAAGTAGATGAGAATGGAACTACCTCCAAGTGATCATAAGCAAGGAAAAGGAACGCCCAAAAATTAATGAGGTATCGAGGAAACCCTACTGAAAAGCGACAGCATGAGAGGAGCTCTGGGCAGAAAAATATCCGCAGGACGGCAACAGATATATTCAGAAAGGGTGCCGTTGCAGCTGGGCGTGGAGCACCCCTGCATAACCTAAGAGGTGTTCTTGGGGTAGTGGAGTACCTCGGAACTGAAAGTCCGGCTCCAGGCAGGGTACAGCATCGTGATGTGTGAAATGGCGGTGTCAGTACTACCCCCCCCCCCACCACACTTATGAGGTAAGGGATGTCGGAGTACGGAATCCTCAGAGAGAGTCTCAAAAACCCCCCACCCGTCTTCCCCAACACCTAAGTAGCCAAGTTATTTATTCCTTACATTTTCAGTTTTTCACCCAGAAAATTGAATTACCGTCAAGGGGGAGGACGGGGGAGGTGAAGAAACACATGAAGGAAAAATCACGAAAAGTCAATACCGGGATTTTTTCCAATGCGGCAACTTTCTCTCAACGGTACATACGACCCCCCTCCCCCTCTCAGCGGAAAAGTAGACTTAGCTATGCGTTTTTGCTTACAATGATGCTGTACTCTGGCTCGACATGCGCTACGTATGCCCCGATGCCCTTGTCTTGTGAAGTTATCTCCAACCCCATTCAATCCCTTACATTTGCGAGAATTGGAGTTATGGAGATGAGCGCTTTTCCTACGCTCAAAGGAGAGAGGGAGCTCTATGGGGGGGGGGGGGGGATGAAGCACATTTCAAGTAGGACCTATTATTACTCGGATTGAGGTTTGATCCAGTCTGCACAAAAGGGCGGCGCTCTAAATAGTAAAAGTATTAATAGCGCTGCACACTTCTCTAACGCAGCACTTTCAGAAAAAATTCACGAGTCCACTCACTTCGACTTACTATGCGTTCCTGCCCAACATTTTTACATTCATTTCTGAGCCATGATCCAAACTACAATAGAGTTTATCCCTAGAAAAAAACCTGACCGAAAAAGTGACTTCCAAGCTGGCCAGTTGTTATTCCGCTGCATGTCCGAAGCTTATCAAAGCAAGTGGGATTCTACAGATGATAAGCAATCACCACCGATGAAAATCTTATATTTAGTACGTGGTTGCGCACAACTGACGTGGCTTTGTGTAGCTATGTGGCGTATGCGCTTCATTTACAGAGAAGTTTTAGAGAATCTGAGTGGAGTTCCGGTTGGGTCATCTCTCTCCATTCCTCTTATCGCTGCATCAACCATCCCTCGAAGTCCGTATGTGCTATGCTTTATCCTTTTGAAGCAGATCTATGAAGTAGCTGTGTTTAGGATGAATTTCGCCTCGATTCTCTTCCTAATCGTAAGCGTCAGTGGGAACGACGCGCCTCTACTGATGGACTTGTCACTCCGAGCCGGATGCCAACAAAGAGCGTTGTGAAGCGAGAGACTGCATTTGGTCGAGACCTTTGCCAGCGATGTCCATGGTATCCCTCAAGAACCTGGTTCTTTGCATGACGTGAAGAAAATCGTTGTCATTTTAGGAAAATGCACCTTGGTGTTATATGAAAGATGGTTTCGGCTACGTAAATGTATCCTCCTCGGGATCGGTAAGTGATTTTTATTCTGGTCCTAAGTAAAACTCATAACTTGCGATTTTTTTGACGTAAGCTACGATACCTTACAACGTTGACGCAACCAACGTAATCAGCGACAGCATACAGTTTGTCTTTGATCACAAGAACAACTGGGCACTCTCGATTAGCAAAAAAGCAATTTCCGTAATAAAAAAATATTGGGTTTAGAAGACCATAGCCGTGAGATAAAATAAAAATTTCAGATGATTACATTAAGACGAAAAAAAGGACCTCGCAATCCATGGGGAACCGAAATTGAAGAGATTCAAATGAGAAGTGAGAGCATCGGAAAAACACTAAACGTGAAAATATTCGTGGAGGGACGGTAAGTGTTCGGCTCAATAGACAGCTAACGTAGTGAGATAACCCACCAAGATTGATTTAGATTCGAACCGCCTGTGGAGCTGCCACGGGATCCGTCTGAATCCGAGGATAGTTTGGAGGTACTGTTAAGTGAGCAATGCACTGATTTCGATGCTAATTCACTGGATGAATTTGACCACTGGGGTGTCGCGAGGGAAGGTGTGGAAGACCTCTGAGACTATTCCCGCAATCAAGTGATTCGTTAAAACCTCCGTTAATTTTGAATACTAGCCGTCACACGAACATGACACATAAAGCAGTCAAAAACGCGCGACCTTTTACGACTTCAACGTTTTCGGGCTGCAACACAACAACTCACACCGCTAATTACCGCGCGTGTTGCGTCGTAGCGTCGCAGGACGATTTCATGTGCTCGTCGCAGAGAATGGCAGCGTAGTGACCTTTGCGAGCTCATTGGTCGCTTACTACTCTTCTTGATACCTTGTATTAGAAGCCGAGCAATGCACATCGACCACTTGCCCAGGAAAAATGCGTTTTAGCGCCTCATGAATTCACGACCGGTGCCATCGGAGTGGGGCAAAAGTACCTCGTGCATTGCTTACTGTAGTCCCCAATTTCTTAGGCAGCCTTCTCCGAAACTGTTTCCAGTTGTGTTCCAAAGTTTCTGTTCTTCGTTTTTTGTAGTACTGGGTAGCGTTTGTGTGTAGTGGAAGATGCGAAGAAACAATCTGTAAACCAGGAATTGCCGCAGGCTGTCGGTTTGCCAGCAATTCCGAAGAACTCGTACAATGATATTCTTGAGTAACGTCAGGAATGATGGCCGTGGCCCTGCCTGTAAGGGTGTCTCGTAAGAGTTTTTTCTTGCTTTTCCTCCTTGATAAGTCCACACAGCGAACTTTGTAGTTCCATTAGCTGAACGCTTCGTTCCCACAATATGCGACCGCAGGGTTTTCCTTTGAGGGAACTGAAACAAGGCCCCTGAGCACACGGACATTCTTTTATAGCCAGCACGCCTGGCTATGCAACTGGCATACAATGGCATCGCTACTCAGCCACGGTTTTGAATATAGTAGTTTAGTTCCGGGGGGGCCGAGGGCCAGAAACCACTGAAGAATAGATCAAAGTCAACAAGGGGTTGGCGATCAAGAAGTGGGAGACATAACTGCAGCGGGTGGGGTGTGCACCGAAGTGGCGGGGGCCAAACTCAGTCATAAAACGGTTCCAGAACACCACAGGCAGCGCGAAAAAAAGGATTAAGGTCAGCAAGGGGTCCGCTCAAAAGTGGGAGACATACCTGCTGATATGTCAGTCGTTGACCGTGTATCCCATAAAAAGGAAAAAGCGCAACAAAGCCGCTTCCGCCCAGCAAGGCCTGGCCATGGAACAAGGAGCACTGGCATCAGCCGGCGATCCGACTGGTTATGTAAAATGAATCAGCGTGATCCGTAGAGGAGTTTCATACTCCAGAAATCTTCCGAAACACCACAATGGCACAGTTCGGCGGCGGAGGCATTTTGCACTCTCGCTGCTTCACTAGTTCCTGTCTACAAGTCTCAAGTCTGGTGAAACCTGTGAACTCAAGCTAGAGCAAGCTGGTCGAACCGCCATGGTAAAACCTACTCAAGGGAAGGCTACCTAGATGGGTGGACACGTTGATGGGAAGTAGCAAAACGAAAAAATGCCCCTCCTTCCCCTCCCCTTCACCGAGCTGCTCCCCCTACAGTTATCAAAGCAGGAAGTGCTTTGGATTTCTTTTCGAATAACTCATTCGGAATGTTGCAGAAGTTTCTCCCCACCGTAGCACATAAGCTTCGTGACGGACCAGGCACTACCGGTCACCTCTGACAAATCTATCCGATGAGCGCTATGGTACTTGTCTTGCAGATGTCCTGATCATTTCCGTGAAACTTTCTCTGTTCCGAGATTCCGGGATATCTTGGAGTCATCCCGAGTATCCGCTCAAAAATCGATACCATAAGCCGTGCCTGCCGCTTATATGTAAATATGCCAATTACTATAGCCATCAATTCTCAAGAATGGATATCATTTTAACAATACTGAGAGTGTCCGAATACTTACAGCTTGAAACTGGAGTGACAAAGAAAGGAGGTCTCTTCTATTTTGTAGTAAAAAGGATGTCTACAGGAACAGAGCTTTTCAACACTTCAGTCGGTAAGTCAGAACTTTGCATAACTGGTCGCCCTTTCCCTTTTCGGTCTTGTCACAAATATCCTTTCTAGGTGGGCTTATATTCTCCGATAAATTCATACAAGTGGTCACGAAGCTGCCTTCACAAAACATGTATGGGTTGGGGGAACACGTTCATCCAAATTTAAAGGTCTTTCTTTTCTGATCTATGATAACTTCGATGAACCTCTACTGCTCCAGAATTTATAGCTCATTTTAGCATGAATTCTCCTCATATCGAACATGGCCAATGTATGCAAGAGACGAGTTTCCCAACGCTAGAAATCTTGGACACAAAAAATCTTTACGGTAACGACCTCTGCTGCAACACTTCCACTCGATTATTTTGAATTTTTCCTGAGACATTTACTATGTGTGTTCCTCCGTTTGACACAATATCCATGGCGCAATTTAACCAACAGAAGGGTTGCGGTTTCAAGAAGTGAAGAAAAGGATGGGATGAAGGCATTGATGGTAGTTGGGAAGGAGTGATAACATTTGATAAAAGCTGGTAAGAGGGTTAGAAAGCATGCCCCTAGGCTTATGTGAAGATTCCTCACTTGCTAGTGATGAAGAGGAGAAAGTATGCGGACATAGCACGAAACTGTGGACTGGGGGCGATATGGTCCAACTGACAAGAGACTGAAGGATTAATATA